TTTCTTCCATTTAAATGTGCCAACAATCTCGTCTTCTTGCATAAGGTTTATGTTTTTTAATTCGATAAAAAATGTTTGCGATAGAAATATACTGTTTTAATTTAACATATTATAATATTACATTGATTTACATATATATAATAAATAATAATATTACTATTAAAAACGATCAATGAATAAATTTTTTAAACATTTTTGTATTATATAAAAATAATTTAAATTAATTAAAAAAATCATTATAAATTTAATTTATACTTTAGATTATATTTATTTTAAAATAATACAAATTATAACTAATTTTCATTGTTATTATTGATTATATTTATTAGTGAAACTAATTTAAAATTGGATTATTAGCTTGTTTTTATGTTTCATTGAGTGGAATTATTTCAAACGTTTGATGGATAAATATATTTTTTGTTGTCTTGTATCCAAATTAATATACATTAATTTACAATAATAAATAAATTATTGTAAAAATATACTATTGCTACTTTTTGAAATCCATCAAAAAAATAAAAATTGATTCAAATTTCTCAATTAAACCAAATAAACAAAACAACTTTTTTGTCGTATTTTTAAAATATACACAACTACTTTAATATAATAATTATAATAAAAACTTATTAGTAAACGATTATATTATTTTATATAAATACAACAACACAATTGATAATAGTTTTAAGAATATTGGTTTCTTAAACTGATTGTGTTAAGTATCGATTATATTTTTCTTCTACTATCAATAATTATTTAAATAATATATTTATTTCAATAAATGGTAATATAATGGTGTTGTATATAAAAATAAAAATAATTATCGAAAAACAGAAACATACTTGACAAAAAAAACAAGAAGAATTAAATAGAGTCGAATAATTAGAGATGGATTACAATCGAATTTAAAGTTCAAATAAAAACACTACTAACCAACATAATAATCCAAGACAAATTGTTGCAAATTATCTTATTTTTTTCTTGTGTTTTTATCGTTATTTCCTGAAAGTACACGTAATTGTGTTCCATTCATAGTAATAAATTAAAAACAAAAGACTTGTTTTCCATGTTTATAAATAAAAATAAAATACATAAAATTATTTTGTGAACTACAAACACAGATTAGTGTTTACTACATTGCTCTTGACATCAACACGAAATGCAGAAGGCTTCCCCATCATCAGAATTTAAGAAATCACATTAACTATCAAATGGTGAAATCATTACCATTGGAAACGAGAGATTCAGATGTCCAGAAGCACTCTTTCAGCCATCATTTATTGGCATGGAAGCATCAGGTATCCACGAGACAACTTACAACTCAATCACAAGGTGCAATGTCGATATCAGAAACAAGTTATATTAAGCATCGTCTCCTATGATTGAATTTAATGTACCCAGGCATTAACGACAGACATGAGAAGGAGAAAGTTGCAGATGAGAAATGAAATGGCATAATCAAGGCTGTTTATGCTTGGTTCAATTTAATTATATTTGTGCAGGTGTTTATTTGGTTTACTTTAAATTATTATTGTTATAATCAATCATAATATATATAATAAATTTACTATCATTTTTATAATTCACAAGTTGATTAATTATAGTTTGATTTTTAATTTAAATTACTATACAATTTATTATTCTTTTGTCACGCATTGTATAATGTATCCAAAACTGCCATTTTTCTCGACTTAAATTGATGTTTTATAGCGTTGTTTTACCATATAAGATAATTATTTTATTGTTATTGTTGTGTTCGTTTAATAACACACAAAATTAATAGTAAGTAGTGGGTTTTTATCGTAATATTTTGATGTTATTTGGTTCTCTAAGTATTTTTAGTTTGAGTGGAATCCATTTTTTATTTCAACAACAATATTTTTGTCATGTTCTTATTTTATTTTGGTTTGAACCAATCTTATTGGTTATATTGAACCCAAATTGTTGCACTTGTTTTAAGTGTTTTTTATTTTGTTTTTGAAAAACTTGAATATCTGATAGTATTATTTAATCAATTTTTATTAACAATTTTATTTGTTTATAAAAACAGTTTATTTTCGTATTATTTTTATTACTAATATTAATTTGTTAAATTGTATATTTTATTGATTGAAGGACAAATCTTTAACAAAACCCAATTAATTTGAGTTTATGAATGATGAAATGTTTTATAAATAATTCAAAAGTTTGAATTTGAGTTGAACTATTTTATCAAATAAGTCAAAAATCGTTCTAAATTGTTCATGAAAAGTCGCCATTATTTTCATTTTTTTGGAAAAGTGAAATTATTTTTTGAAAAAAAAAGAAAAAAATAAAAATTTTTCAGTCCTCGAAGGGTTAATTAATATTTAGATTAGCATCCCCCTTTTTCTCAGCATCCCACTTTTCCGTTAACTGTACAAGAATAACAACTTCGAAATATCTTATCGTGGATAATTTATAACAATAAAAAATATTTTAAGTTCATTTAATTAAATAATTATTAGTTGTTAAAAACCCATAGTTAAAAACATGATTATATTAAGTATGTATTATATTTATACATAGTATTAGAATAAGCTGTTTATTAATATATTCGAACACATCATATTCAAATAATTACAAATTACAATCAAACATTCACACAAAAGAGTATAAATGTGGATTGTTAAATTGTCATTTGTTTTTGTAAATTACAATGTATATTTTATTTATGTGATTATATTGTTCAACTTAAAACTTGTTATCAAGTTTAATATCATACTGTAACAAAAAATGATACATTATTATATTTTCAATTTGATAACAGTCTTGGGTTTAACAAGTTATTCTTACTGTTTTTACAACTCCATAATAATAAAATGATATACTAATAAATAAAAAACCAGGGATTAGATTAAATAAAGTTGTTTTATTTTTGGTTAATAGTTTCCTTGTCAGAGAAAAATAAACAAATAATCGGGTTTCGGAGGATATGTTGGTTTATTTTTAAAAACCAGGTGATATGTATTAATAAACACAATGTTTTATATATAAAATAGAATAAACTATAAAATATGAAACTTTTAATAAATCATTTTAAGTTGTTTCTATTGTTAATGCCCAGCCGAGTCAAAGCAATGTTTGTTTTTTATTAATTTATTTTCCGTTGTTGAATACATTCCATAATCATCAATCCTTTGCTTTATATCTAACATTTCAATAATTTATTTATTTTTATTTTATTTTCATTTATTGCGCGAGTCACTTTTATTGCTGAACGAAAAGTAACTTATCAAATCAATCGAATGAATTGAGAAGAATACATTGGATTCTTTGAAATTACTAATAAACGGTTTAATTAAATGGTTGTGTTGAAGTTAAACATAATTGAACAAAAAAAAACATGTCAATCTTTTCAAATTGATGGTATTTCAGAACAGACACCAAAAATTAACAGTTCATAAAAAGACGAAATTTTATTTTTTAAATTTTTAATATATTTTTATCTGAACTTATTATATGAGATTATGTAAAAGTATTTTGTTCATACTTTAGTAGCTTAATCCATAGACTACTAAATCTAAGGGAAAGTGATTTTAATATCTTATGTGCATGTACGTGTGAGCTACAAGTCATAACTAAAAATTGTTGTGAAGTGTAATATTTTTTGATTTTTGTGTTATCATTTAAAGTTTTAGTTTGTTTTTGCATGTTTACATACTTAAATGTTACTACTTTTTATTTTTCAGGCTGTTTTCCAAAACAAAAGTGTAACAATTTATAGTATAACATTATACACCAACTATTGTTGTTATTTAATGATTGAAAATAAATGAGTGCTCCTATTCAACTTTATCATTAACGTTGTTGTGTTAATAAAATACAAGTGTTTACTGTTGTGTGTTGTAATTCAAATAATAAAAAAAGTTGAGAAAAAAATATTTGTATATAATATCTCACTTATATGTGGTTATCAACAAAAGGTTGTTGAAGGAAAATTAAGCACATCGACGTACTTACACGATGAAATTAGTAATAATTGATAATATTTAATTTTTCTTTGTTTCAACAAAGTGTCAACCCAATTTCACATAAGTTACAATCAATATTCAAAATTAACAATATCATTAACAATCTTTATTCAACTGGAAATAATAATAAACAATTACATTTGTGTCAACAATTTATATATATGTATATATGTCATTTATTTATTTAAACTTTTTATAATGTTGATAACTTTTTTATATGAATAATTGAAAAGACCATTTTTAAAAGTTAAATATTGACACTTTTTGAATTATTTGTGAAATATGTATCATTTTAATTTTTGTATATTATGGTACATTGATGAAGAGTATGTTTTATGCTATCTTTTTACATATAAAAAGGAAAATTTGCTCAAGAAAAAAAAACATTTTATAAAAATGGATGATTTTGTAAAATGTGTAGATAATTGGGATTCAATTGGTGAGTTTTTTATGTCAATTAAAAAGAAAATAATAATTCATTGATTATCTTATCGTATGAGAACTTCCCTGTTTTTGCCGTTTGTAAAAGTTAACCATATATATTTTTAATTATATAATTTTAATATATAATACATACAAATGTATATTGTTGACTAACATAAAAAAGTTGTTTTTAAAATAATACAACAAATAGAGTCAGTCAAACAACGTTGTCCTTTCTCCAAACCTAATCCTTTTAGTTTTATATTTTTAGAATCAAAAACGATTTTATCAAAAGTTTAAATCAAAGACAAATTCAACATTTTTTTACCACCAGTTTTCAACTATAATAAAAAATAGAGTTTCTTTTATTAAATATTATTTTTAATTTTGTTAAAACAAAATTTTCTTTTGCTCTATTATTCCCCCTTTACTTGCAAAAATCAACTTAACTTAAAATGAAACTGTGATAATAATAAATAATATAAAATATATAAACGTATTTGAAAACTTGAAATAACAAATGAATACATCACCCATACCATCACTTGGATATTGGGACATATGGACATTGATTGGTTCGACTCACATTAACTTTGAAAATGTTTTTCGACCAATTTATAATTTGGATGTCAAAGCTGAAACATTCCAGTATATACAGGATTTGTATACCAAACTGAATATGCAATTGTATGCACATGTCAATAGAAGTATATTTAATTACAACAATCTACCAAATTACACCACCGCAGATATGGCAGAAACTTTGGAGTACTTCAAGTGTCAATGTAAAGTAATCGAAGAATTGCTTGAAGCATCACTTAAAGCGTATTGCAGTATGCTCGACATCAAAGAAATTAACACCCACATTGTTAATTGTTTAACAATCCTAAAGAGTTATGAACAGAAACATCATGGATTTAACCAACTGTATTATATATTAAAACAGTTGAGATGTCCACTCCCAGGGGAACGTGTTGTTTCGAATCCAATACAAAATGTTGTTCCTCAAACACAACAAAGTCCTGAAATACACGTCAACAATGATGATGCTATTGATATCATTAACTCTGTAGAAAGAGTTGATGAAGTTGACGAAGACAAAAATGACCACACACAGGGACACGAAGAATCTTCATTAACAATGGAGGAAATTGACCCGTCCTTTAACAGAGACATTCAGATTGAACCTTGTCTATCAGATGCCGAATTTGATTGTGATAAACTAATGTATTATCTTGAAAAGATCAACAGAGTAGACCTTTATGATTATGTGCTCGACACATTAACCAGATTTTTCAAACTTGGAAGAAACAAAGCTGCTCCGAATAGACGAATTCAGTTGTTTAGATGTAAAGAATACATGACAAAGAAATTAGGATTAAAAGTGACGAATTTATTCAAGTTTGACACAAATTGTCAAAGAGTGTGAAGAGACAATTAAATTGGTAAAGAGCAGCGAGGCA